AGCGGTGACGTTGACAGCTGGAAGGTCCAGATGACCTGAGAGTGAAGACATGAAATAAATGAAAGGACTGCAGATCTCAATTATTATTATTAATTATAATGATTCATATTTTTATCAAACCTTTAGTTGTAACTGTGGTAACTTTAAGGCTAAACAATAAGTTATATTAAAATCTGAACGCACATATCTGATTTGTGGCTGCATCCATGTAGTAGCTGTAGGTGAATCCATCAGCGGGCGCCGACTCTGACTCGTTCTGACCAATCACAGCAGTTACTGTGAGGTAATAATAATCGTCCGGGTCAGAGAAAGCTGACAAGTCAACCTGAAGGTCAGGGGGATCGGACCACATCACCTTGGCCGTCCTGAGGACAGAAGTAAAGAAAGAACCGTCAACCTGGTTCATGAGTGTGAAAATGTACCAGCTACAAAGTCTGATGTGACTCGTCCCAATCTGACCCGTAATATGGCTGAATATTAACTCTGAAACGAAGCCCAGGAACCAGCTGACCGTACGTCCACTCCAGGATGTTGTGTAAATTTTGGCACCGCAGGGTGACGTTGGTCGGAGGCTCCACTGTGTGAACAGAGACCAAAACATTAGCCTGAAGCTGTGAGGACAAAAATGAAATGATCTTTGGTCAATTTCTCTTTACTGTAGACACCAGAGCTAACGTTAGCTACAACAGTCCTGGTACAGACACCAGAGCTAACGTTAGCTACAACAGTCCTGGTACTGACACCAGAGCTAACGTTAGCTACAACAGTCCTGGTACAGACACCAGAGACTGACAGTTGAGAATATTCTGCAGCATCTTTGTTTTGATTATTGACATAATAATAAACAGACATTCACATAAAATAACATATTCCACATTTATTAGCTGATTCAAATAAAATAAATAATCTAAACATCCTTAAGATTAATTTAGAACATATAAAATGTGTATTTATTTAAACTGATTGACATCACATAAAACCATGATCTGTTTAACTTCAAAAATCTACATCTGTTAACACCTAATTACCTATAACATAGGCTTTGTCTCCGTATGTGACAGTGTGGACTGGTGACCTGTCCAGGGTGTACCCGGCCCTCAACAGTATCTATTTTATCTGAATCATCATTTAAATCCATAATCTTTCCTCAAACTTCCACTAGGCGGCACTGCATAATAACAGTACAGAGCACTTGTGAGAGAGAAGCTTCTCTGTAGTATAAAAAAAAGGTTAAGAAGAATTCATTCCAAAAAGAATTAATTCCTACACACCTGTGCGTGTAAACATTTTTAGGATTATACTACGTTGAACAAATCCACAGCAGACCATTCAATAACAGACCATTCAATAACAGCCAGCACTGACTCATCCGTCAGTGATGGTGAAATAAGTTCATACAATAACCTCGGTGTTTCCCATCTGACGGGAGTTTCCAAGAAGTGATTAGCTCAACAGATAAGGTTTCTATGAAAGTGCACATGATTTGACTGGAAAACACCTGCAGCTGGGTCTAAATACACTGGTCTCTTCAACGCTTCAATTAGCATTCTGATCTGGTCTTGAGCGGAGACAGAAGACAAAACTGTGCAGTGTGTTTCTGTTACACGGCTTACGTACAACATGTCCAGTTCTGTTACGTTTCACTTCCTCTTCACTGACTGTTTTTACTGTCAACAGTTACACTTCGTCAGACGTGCAGATGACAGCAGGTGTGGGGAGAACGTGAGAAACCACAAGAGTAGAACCACACGTTGGCGGCTGCCACCACATGGTTCACACTCTCTCTGTCTCTGTCTCTCTCTCTCTCAAGTAGAAAACGTGTCGTTCACCTTCATTCATAAATAGGGATGTAACGATACAACCAGCTCACGATAGGATTTTATCACAATTTTCTGAAAACTTAATAATCTCTGTGATGACCTGTGACCAAATCCACTGACCATTTCTGGGTCAGAACTGTGTGAAATCTCATCACCAACTAAAATGGTCTGTGAACCTCATCAACTGACATTGTTCTCTTCAATAACAGACTGAAACACATAACAGACATAATAATAGATTTGTTAGTTTATAAATAAAGCTTTTTTTAATTTACATTTTAATGAGAAAGTGTAACATGACACACACACACACACAATAATTTCAAGCCTAGATGTGAATTTCATATTTAATGAGGAAGCTTTTTTGTTGTTGAAAGACAAGGTGTAAACCTGACAGGAAGTCAGTTGTGAAACCAGTTCCTGTATACACAAAGAACAATTTCAAATATTGGCCAATATGAAAGTGGTTCTGAACCAACTGTCTGAGAAAACCCCAGCAGACAAGTCCAAACGTGCGGTCACACATCTGACAAAAAGCCACGAACCAGTCCTCCACACCCTGTGACGACGGTTTCACTACAACTGAGTGTTTAAAAAAAAAAAAAACAACAACCTCAACATATTGTGGTACCTGTAGTATTACAATATATCATACTGTTCCCCCTGTATCGTGGTACATATCATATTGCCAGATTTATGCTGACTCACAGCCCTATGGTCCACAAACTGTGGTCCACAATCTGCTGCCATCTTTGTTTCTTCTTTTTCAACAACAGTCATTGTGAGAATCACAGCAGCAGCTTTATAAAAGGCCCTTTAATCCAAACAGGATGACCATTTCCTGTTAACAAGGACTCGCCCTGGTTGAATTCCGGTTCCTTAAACCTCTACCAAAATCTCACTTCATGTGTGAGTTAACATGTGACCAGTGCTGTGGTAAACACACAAACAGATAAAACAAAAAACTGAGTCGAGTTCACGCAGTAAACTTAAATACTACAGTGTGTTTGTACAAATATCTGTAGAAGTATCCATGGCTGCATTCTCCAGGACAACAACACTAGTTACTGTACTAGATGAACAGCTGGTCCACAGAACACACGTACGGTAGAACCTACATATCAATGGCCCGGACTGGGGCTGTTAAGACAGATAACTGATCAGGGCATGAGTTAAGCAGAAACAACAGACATCATAAAAGTGTTTTTTGTTTTTGTTTTTTTTAGACTGGCATCACTGCAGAAAACTGGACAACAGCAACCGAATGTTGAGAAATACTGAAAACTACAAAGAGGAAATAAATACCACAGGAAACAGTCTGTACATCTGACAGATTATTGACAGAAGGACAAGGTTGAACACAAATCAAAAATTAAACTCAGCCGATGTGGTTTAAGTACGAACACACAAAAATGAGTTACTACTTCATTCTACTTCAAACTGAGAATTTGGCAAATCAGTGACAGAGTTCACAGAATATCTTAACAGGATGACAAATACGACCAGAACATTTGAGCTGTGTGTGATTAAACAATGTAAGATATTAAATTACAAAATTAAGATTTACAGAAGAATAAAAACAAGATTGCTCCAAAATCAAGAACATACAAACAAATGACCAGACAATGTCACAGGCATGAAATTAAGAGTTTTAAAAGAGGAGTCTGTCTGGGCCACTGAGACTGGAGTGTAAATCCAAGGCTAAATAAATATAAATGTGTATTAGTCGATTTATTGGTATATTTGAAATAATTTCTGTGGGATGGAGCAAAGATCCGGCAACATCAGGCCTGTTTAAAAATGTCCAGAAATCGCTAATTATTGTTAGCCTGGATTCCCTGGACTAAAGCGAACAGCTAACTGTAGCAGCTAACAGAAACGAACCGCGGACTGCAGTTGGTCCTTGTTATTTACTCATCCAGGAAACACTTTTGAAAAGCCAAAGAGTCCTAATTTTAGTATTAAAAAACATGTATAAAACAAAACAATACAAGTATACAAGTATTTTGCGACAAAACGGAAATGCACCTTACCGAGGGCCAAGGCGACGGGTAACCACAGGAAGCAGGGGAAAAACGGAAGGAGTCTGAGAGAATCCATGCTCATAGACTCAGTGTTTTCTTCTGGGTTTAACTCAAAATTGCGTATTTTCACGAATAAACAGTCACGGAGTGAGTGTGGGGTCCAAACACAGGGACGCGTTCGACCACAACTCCTACTCTGCTCAATTCCTCAGTTTGGACTCTCCCACAGGAAGCTCCGCCAATGCCTACTTCACTGACACTCGGAAATATAAGGAAGTAAAACGTTACTTAAATGTTTGTCTTTACTGTGTCACAGATGGATAAAACTTGATTCGTATCACATTGTGTTGTTGTGTTTTTGTTTTGTATAGTCTTTTTTTTTTTTTACTACTACGAAGAAAATCGATTTTTTTTTTTACTACTACGAAGAAAATCGACAAGTATTGTCAACAAAATACGTTCTTTACACAGACATGAATGAAAGTGGAGGGAATGGGCAAATCAGTGTGGTTTTTAAAAGTGGTTTTCTTGCTGTAACAGAAACACATGTTGAATAAAATACACTAAAACCCACGACTAATGACTAAGACAGAATCAATCGCACTGTGGATTACATTAAAAAAAAGTTGAGTTAGAGTTTTTCTGCAGACTGCGTACAGACGGTTCACCGGTAAAGTTAGAAATGTCCAGGGGTACCTGAACGTGCTCTACGGAAAGGACCCAACTTTCCTACGTGATCCTGCCGTAAATCATTACTCGTGCACGGGATGTATTTATAAGACGCTATGAAGACGTTGTATGTAAAAAAAAAAAAAAAAATTCTTCAGAATATATACAAAATTATTAATTATTATTAGCCCAATCACAACAAAAAGAACCATGAAAAGTGATCAAATGTATCTGTTTTTTTTTGTAATATTTAGACATAAAACAAAGGTGTAAATATACAAAGTCAAAAAAAAAATTAGGTTAGATATTGCTAGCTATTTTCAAACAGTGACAAAGGAATGAAGCCGAATACAGCATAAATACTCAATAAAAATGTGGCAAAAAATATAAAATTATTTTCTGAAAAGTTACAAAATTCACAAGCTAAGAAATTGTGAAAATATAGCATTAACAATAAAAACAAACAAAAACCTCCACATTACCAAATTGTAGTTTAAAATAATATTAAGATTAGCAAGTTCAAGAAAAAAAAGGACAATCACAAAACTAACTCCCAGCCAATAGTTAACATATGGCTGATTTTTTTTATTTAACTGTTACCTAAAAATTAGCAACACAGTAAACCTAGATAACGTGTGCTAAAACATAACCAACAGTTAGCTTAAATGTAGCCTTTACATAAAACATTGTAAAAAAAAAAAAAAAAAGTTAGCAGGAGGATTGGTGAGAGTTGCAGGATGCTGGAAAAATCTCACACCCAGATCTGAGAAAGTCCTTGTTTACATCTCCTGTTCTTGTCTGTTAGCTTCAAAGCTAACAGACAACACTTGCTGCTGTCATTCAGAGCCACAGCCTATTCTGCTGGAGCCTTCCTCCATCCTGACGTCAGCCGTGTGATTGTTTTTCTCCCCATCTCAGCCTCCCTCTCAGCCATTCTTACATCAGCGCTTCAGCCGTGAACTGTGGTGAGTCCAGCACACACACACACACACACAACCCTCCGTTTAACACACTCAGGGCCATTATTTATGGACCCTCATAAGGTTCTTCAACCCTGTGATGTAGTCTTTAGAAGACGGTCTGCTCTGCAGTATTTTCTCAGTATTTACATTTTCCGGGGAAATACTTCAACTGAAAGATGTAGAATTCATTTCCAGACAGAAGTTATTAATGTTGTGTTACTGTTTCCACCGCTGTTTCCTTCATGACAGCTGCATGGTGCTGGACTTCAGACCAGGCTGCAGGCTCTGAACTCAC